GCTGAGCTCTCTGCCTTGCTTGGAGTCAATTTTTGTTTTGTATAGATGTTATTCTTTTTTATGTGAATAAGTGTTTTGCCTGCATGTGAGTCTGAGTAATAAGAATGTGCCTGGCATCAGAAGAAGGGGTTGGCTCCTCTGGAACTGGAATCACAGATGGTCGTAAGCCACCATGTGGGTGCTGAGAACTGAATCTGAGTCCTCTGTAAGCAACAAATGTTTTTTTATTTCTTCAGCCAGTTGTTTCTCCCTGAACACAAGCATTCTTAACCCCTGAGCCATTTCTTCAGCACCTAGACTCTTATTTTTAAGTTCATTATTTATTTTGTATGCTTGTGTATAAGAGTGTGTATGTACGTAGCATGGACATGGCATGGCGTGTGGCTCACTTGTGGAGGTCAGAGGACAACTTGCAAGAGGAGTCTGTGCTCTCCCTCCTCTGTGTGGTCTCAGGAGTTAATGCAGGTCGTCAGGCTTGGTAACAGGTGCCTTCAATGTGATTATACCCTGAGCCAAACCGTCGACATCTTCAGCTGAGCCCACTTTCGAAAAAGCATCCCAGCTGGACTTCACCGTTTACCCCCTCCATATCGTGTATAACCGTGCCACAATCGAACCTGGCTCATACAGAGGCTAGAATATATGGCTGGGAAAGTCTGGGATTTAGGTGGCGCTCTGTGTGCTACTGTAGGAAAGTCACAATCCCTGCTAGGTTAAGACTTTCATACACAGCCTCGGTTTTTGTGGGGAGCGCCCACATTCCTGTAAGTAAACATCAGCTATGCTCGTAACAGTAAGCCCATTAAACTCATTGGTTCCTCGGAGTGAACTTTGTGGAATAGTGCCTGGGTTTGTGGTTGGGATCTTGGGAGGAGGAAGGGCGCTGTTCATATCTCCCCTGGGAAGGAATTTCAGCAACACACCTTTAGCTTCTGGGCCATTTTGCTGGCTCCTGGAGCAGGTTTTAAAATTTTTCTTTCCTTTTTGAAGTGAGCTTTACATATTTTATTTTTAACGATATTTTGTTTTTATTTTCATTTGTCTGAGATTTTGCCTGCATGCATATGGACCACATGTGTACCTGGTACCTGGGGGCCAAAAGAGGACATTGGATCCTTTGGAACTGTTACAGGTGGTTGTAAAACCACCATGTGTGTTTCGGGAACCGAACATGGGTCCCCTGAAAGAGCAGCAAGTGCTCTTAACCTCTGAGTCATCTCTCCAGTCCCCTGAAATAGATTTTTTTGAGGGGGAGGGTTTCGAGACAGGGTTTCTCTGTGGCTTTGGAGGCTGTGCTAGAACTAGCTCTTGTAGACCAGGCTGGTCTTGAACTCACAGAGATCCACCTGCCTCTGCATTGGTTTGATCTGCTTTTAGGTAAGTTTGACCTCTGTTGGGTTTCATATCTGCCAATTCATCCAACCACAAGTTAAAAGTGTTCAGGACCCTAGGGATGTAGGCTAGTGGTTGGGTGAGTGTTTAACATACTTAAGGCCCTAGGTTTTATGTTCAGAAACACCAAAAATTGGCATTTGTACTAAATGTATGCTGAATTTCTCTGCTCTTGTCATTATTTATAGTATACTGGTTTTTGCAAGAATAAAAAACAGATTAAAGTGTAGGGGTGGAGATGTGGCTTAGTGCCAGACAGAACACTTGTCCAGCTTACAAGAGGCATTGGGTTCTATTCCTGATGCCACAAGCACCTAAGTCACCTGCAAGTGCTAGGCCATTTTCTTGTTTGTTTTTCTTTTTAAAAGACTTTTATTAATTACTATTAATACAGTATTCTGCCTGCATGCTAGTCAGAAGAGAACACTGAATCTCATTACAGATGGTTGTGAGCCACCATGTGGTTGCCGGGAATTGAACTCAGGTCCTCTGGAAGAACAGTCAGTGCTCTTAACCTCTGAGCCATCTCTCCAGCCCTTGTTTGTTTTTTCGAGACAGGGTTTCTCTACGGCTTTGGAGGCTGTTCTAGAACTCTCTTTGAAGACCAGGCTGGCCTGGAACTGGCGATATAGACAGGCTGATCTCAAACTCACAGAGATCTGCCTACCTTTACATCCTGAGTGTTGGGATTAGAAGAATGAGCCACCATGCCTAGCCCTATTTACTTCCCCTGAGACTTTCTGTGCAGAACAGGCAGAACTTAAACTCACTATTCTGCCTCAGTCTTGCACATGGCTGGGATCACAGGTATGCATCACTGTGTCACACTGTTCTGCGCCCTCTTCATTCTTTTTCTTTTAAATGAAGGGTTTTCTAGGGCTCACATGACCTATGCTGACATGCATCATTATTCTGATAGCTCACAAATGAGTTGGGTGATTGTCTTGGTTAGGGTTTCTATTGCTATAATAAAGCACCATGACCAAAGGCAACTTTGGGGAGGAAAGGATCTATTTCATCTCACAGCTTGTAGCCCATTTTCCAGGGAAGTCAGGGCAGGAGCTGACAGGGGCCATGGAAGATGCTACTCACTGGCTTACTCGACCTGGCTTGCTTGGTTTGCTTTCTGGTAGCATCTAAGACCACAAGTCCAGGGGTGGCACTGCCTACAGTGAACTAGGCTCTCCCATACCACTCATCAATCAAGAATATGCACTAGGCTTGTCCACAGGCCAATCTGGTAAGGGGCATTTCTCAACTGAGTTTCCCTCTTCCAAAATAACTCTAGCCTGAGTAAAGCTGACAGAAAACAAGCCAGTGCATGGTGCTGAATTATTTTATTTCCATCTTAACTTCAGACTTAATAAATACAATATATCTAACACATGTCAAAAAGGCCTTTGGGGTTCCTGCATATTTTTTAAAGATGTATTTCTTTATTACATATACAGTGTTCTGCCTACATGCTGAATAGGGCACCAGATTGAATTGTAGATGGTTGTGAGCCACCATGTGGTTGCTGGGAATTGAACTCAGGACCTCTGGAAGAGCAGTCAGTGCTCTTAACCTCTGAGCCATCTCTCCAGCCCTCCTGAATATTTTTAAACACTTAATAGACATATGTCTTTGTGTGGGTGTGAATATGTGAGTGTAGGTGCCCCAAGGCTAGGGATGTTGGATCCCCTGGAGCTGGATTTATGAGCAGTTATGAACTGCCTGATGTGGGTGATGGGACCCTCTATGGGAGCAATGAGCTCTCCTCACTACTAAGCATCTCTTCAACTTTTTAAGAGTATAGAGGCAGAAGGAAAAATGACCCTGACTACCTCTAAGAATGTACTGTGGTACACACACACACACACACACACTCTCTCTCTCTCTCTCTCTCTCTCTCTCTCTCTCTCTCTCTCTCTCAATAGAATGTAATTAAACCAAAATGAATTATCTCCTCTTTCTGGAAAAATGGTTTCACTTCTTCAATACAATTGTCTTGCTAATGAGTTCTTCCCATGATTCCCTGGGGTCATATCAAGTGAAGGCTGGTGTAGCTGGAGAGGCTGTTAGGCTCTGCTATGATGGTTAAGCATTGCAGAGACAGCTGGGGTGAAAGGAGAAACATTGGCAGGGACCAGGAAGGAGCATGCTGGGGCAGGGAGACTAAGAGCAAGACCAGACCTCAGTTTACCCCGTCTTTCCACAGATAAGGCTATAAGGCAGGCGGGCTCAGATAGACTGGATGATGGCCTGTGTCTTTCATGCCAGGCTTGGAAATGTTCATGTACTTAGTCAGAGGACCATCAAAGATCACTGCCTAGGGGCTCTCACTGCTTGTCTTATCTATACAGGTACACGGTTTTCTCTTTTCCCAGTGCTGAGATCCATTCTCTGGGGTCTGATTGACCGCACAAGAGGATTAGTGACTGGCTCCTTCTGTAGCTTCTAGATCTCTGTGGCTTCCATTTTTGTTTTAAATAAAAGATGAATGTCCACTTGCCTCTCTTACTGTTGCTTTTCAGTCCATGGACAGAGCCAGGGTCTCCCGAGTACAGGGCAAACTCTACCACTGAGCTGTACTTTCAGCCCCTAGTATTCCCATCTTTTTTGGTCTGGTCTAATAGGCCAGGGTGGCCTGGAACTCGAAATCTTTCTGCCTCACCCTCCCAGTGCTGTAATTACTGGTGGTACCATAATTCCTAGCATGTATTACTTTCATATTTTTAAAGGTTTGTTATGTGTATGTGTGTCTGTGTCTGTGTGACTGGGTATGTATGAGAGTGCAGGAGTCCACATCCTCCTGGAACCAAGTTTTGAACAGTTATGAGTTTCCCAATCTGTGTCCTGGCAACTAAACTCAGGTCCTCTGCAAGAGCAGATGTGTTCCTAACTGCTGAGCCATCTCTCCAACCTATTTATTCCCATATCCTAAAAGCTGCCAAGTTGCTGATAGCCTCTTCTTTATTCGGTCTCTTTCCCCATGCTTTTGGTTGGAATTAACCCACAATGTTTGCTGCAGGCCAAGGATAGCCGCCTGAGGGTCATGACGGCAAAGGGACGGAGGGGTGTTGAGTGTGAAAAGACATTTGGGTAGGCTCACACATTTGAACACTTGGCCCCGATTTGGTGATGTTGTTAGGGAAGAATATGGGACCTTCAGGAGGTGGAGCTTCATGGGGGAAGTGGGCCAGGGGTGGGTTTTGGGCTCTTATACCCCCCAACATCCTAGTTGCTCCCAGCTCCCAGACTGTCCATGCAGTGGGAGAGCATCATGTTCCTGGCACACACGCCATTCCTACCATGGTGGCTTACATCCTTTCTGGAAGTGTAAGGCAAAATAAACCTTTCTCCTGGAAGTTGCTTTTTGTTGGGGGTAGCTGCAGAAAAAAAAAAAAACCTAAGACAAGAGAAAAGAGGCAGGGCTGATTATTTTGGTTCAACTTGCTAAAAATTTGAGGGGAATGTATTCATTTAAACCAGCCAGGCTGGAAGGCTGCACTAGCACAAAGCCATCAGAATTAGACATAATTCCACACTTACTGGATAAATAGATGCAGGCATGCTGTGTCCCTTACTTCTCTGTTGCTGTGATAAACTGTCACGTTCAAGGAAACTTATGGAATCAAGTTTATTTGGGCTCATGGTTTCAGAGGGCGGGAGTCTATGCTGGTGGGAGGTACTGCAGCCAGTGGCTTGTTGAAGCACAGTGTGGGGTCCCCCCTGAGCCAGGACAGGAGGAGGCAGGGATGTTCCAGGCAGAAGAGGACGTGAGGGAAGTGCAGCAGCACAGGGGGAAGACTGAGGCTGGAGGGGCAAAGAGGGAAGTGGAGAGAGAGGAAAGGGTCACTCCAGCGAGGCTGGGAAGGCCACTGGGGCCTGATTTCCCAATGTCCTCCTAGGCTCATCAGGAATTTTGTCTTTGACTCAAGAAGAAGGCATCTGCAGTAGCAATGCAATGACATTGGTGGGATTTGCCGTCTCTCAGCAGGGTCCAGGCTGGACTCCAGGCAGGAAGAAGTGCGAGGCAGATCCCGAAGGCTGGGAAGTCTGAGTGCCGGTGGGAGAGCTGGAATGTAACTGGGTCCTGAGATGACAGTTTCTACAAGTTTGGATCAAAGACTCTCTCTGGAGGACAGCAAAGCACCCTCACCTCTGACCCCCTGGCCTCCTTAATAGAGTCTTATCATACACTTGTAGATAAGGCGGGGATGAGCTCGATGCTCACAACAGGGAAATTTAGGACCAGGAACAGTCATGACTAGCTAAGGATAACGGTACACATCAACACATGGCTGGGCCATCGCCGTATCGGACCTAGAGCTCAGTCCTTGTCACCCTCATGGAGGGGCTCTAGGCAGCCCGGATCTTTGGTCTCTTCTCCAGATACTGCCGGAGGGTCAGCGTCTTCACTAGGGCTTCCATTCATGACACAGCCATCAGCCTCCATCTTCTCCTTCAGGTTCCGTTTGAAGAAGCCCACCTGTCAAAAGCACACACTGAGTGGGCAAGCATCCTGGGACCAGCTGCCCCTGCAAGATGTGAAGATGTCCTTCCTACGCTGACAAATAGGGTATACCACAGTCACATGGCACCTGCATATTTTGCCTATCAGAAATATCTATTTTTTAAGGGGCAGCAGCTCCAGGTAAAATCATTTGTCACACAAGCCTGACTACTTGAGTGTAGTCCCCAGAGCATCAGTGGAAGGAGGAACAGGCTCCTGAGAGTTGTCCTCTGACCTCCACCTGGCACTGTGGCTTCCTCCACTACTCCCCAAAAATAACAGAAAAATTTAGCTTTTTTAGATTTATTTTTATTATTTTGTGTGTATGAGTATTTTGTGTGCTTGGTATGTGATGAAGTGGTAAGCCTCCATATGGGTGCTGGAAATTGAACCTAGATCCTTTGCAAGAGCAAGTGCTCTTAACCATTGAGCCAACTTTCCAACCCACAAATTTAGAAAACAAACATTTAGTCTAGGTGTGGTGATGCATGCCTTTAATGCCAGCACTCTGGAGTCAGAGGAAGGAGGATTTCTATGAGTTCAAGGCAGCCTGATCTACGTCGGAAGTTCTAGGCAGCCAGGGCTGCATGGTGAGACCTTGTCCCCTCCATCCCCCACAAAAAAAGGATAAAATTAAAGAAATAGATATGCTTTTAAATCTTGTGAATACTAAAAAGCTTTAAGTTTGGCGATTCATTCTTTAGACTCATTAGAAGGTCATGTGTCAGCCAGGCATGTTAGCCAGCATCACAGCCCCAGCCTTCAGGAAGGAAGGCAGGAGGATCTTCAGCTTTAGCCATCTGGGCTATATAGTGATGCTCTCTTTCACAAATGTGGGCTAATGCTGTAGCTCAGTTGCTAGAGTGCTTGCCCAGCATGCAAGCTGATAACGCCCAATACTGCATAAAGCCCCGTGTGGTGAGGCAGGCCTAGATGGCTAGCACTGGGGAGGTGGAGGCAGCAGGCTCAAGAGCTCAAGGTCTTTTCAGTGACTTATCAATTTACAAGGTAAAGGCCAGCTTAGGCCTGTCTCAACAAACAAAACACAACACAGAACGGGGGCTAGAGAATGGCACAGCAGTAAAGAGTGCTGAATGCTTTTGTGGAGAACCTGGGTTCAGTTCCCAGCACCTCCCATAACTCCAGGAGATCTGACTCTCTCCAACCTCCCTCTGTGGGCTCCTGCATATACAAGGTGCATGCACACGTGCGCATGTGCACACACACACACTCACACACATGCATACTCATGGACACACATATACAGTCATGCACATACACACTGACACACACACTGATACACACTGACACACAGACACACACACTCTCACAACACTCATGCACATACATACACAGTCATGCACACACACACTGACACACACAGACACACATACATATACACAGACACACACATACACACACACACACCGACACACACAGACACATACACAGACACACATACATACACAGACACACACTGACACACACACATACACATATACACACACTCTCACTCACATACACACTCATGCACATACATACACAGTCATGCACACACACACTGACACACACAGACAGACACACACACGTGTGTGTGTCATGTATAAATCTTTTAAGCAGGTGATGTTTTTCTTTCAGAGCTGAGACTGGAACCCAGGGCCTCCCCCATGCCTTGCTTGCCACTGCTCTACCACTGACGCGCGTAGATCTCAGTGGGCATTTGACAATATCTTCTAATAGGAAGAGTCAACAGTGTGCTACTTAATTACGTGCTGTGCTCGCTCTCCTGAAAGCTTAGGATTGTGTGTGCATGTGCATGTGCCAGGGTCTCCATCTCAAGAATTAATTCTAACAATTTGGATAAGTGTGGAAAGTGGTAATAACGGCTGTTTTGTCAGTTTAGATGGATGCAAATGAGAAACCATCTACAGTGTAGATTCTACATGGTCCTTAATAGGGAAGTTGTTGAATAAAAGATGGAGCTCTGGGACAGCAGAAAATTAGTCAAGTTCAGGGGGAGGCACAGCTGGTGGTGACCATGGTGAGAGAGACATCAGGACAAGGCAGTAAGGGGAAACACACGCCTGACAGGCTGTGAGTGGGAAACGCGTCTGACAGGCAGTAAGGGGAAACACACGCCTGACAGGCTGTGAGTGGGAAACGCGTCTGACAGGCAGTAAGGGGAAACACACGCCTGACAGGCTGTGTGGCTCCACCCCATTTCTGCCTCTCAACTCCTCTCTCCCTTATCTTTTTTCATTTTTTAAATTTTATGTACATTGATGTTTTTCCTGCATGTATGTCTGTGTGAAGGTATTGGATGCCCTGGAACCTACAGACAGTTGTGAACTGCCGTGTGGATGCTGGGAATTGAACCCAGGTCCTTTGGAAGAGCAGACAGTACTCTTAACTACGGAGCCATCTCTCCAACCCCTCTACCTTAACTTTTGAGACAGGGCACCTTGTGCTGGCCTTGAACTTTCAGAGAGTCTACATCTGGCCCCAAATGCTGGGACTGCAGGTATACAGTATTGCATGCAGCTTCTGTTCTGAAACTCTCGAGCCTTTTTCATGGGACACCTGTCTTCTGGCCCTCTTTGTCCCTAATTTTTACTTGTCCAAATTTCAGTTCAAATGCCATCTCTTCTTGGCGGTCCTCCCAGGTCTGAGTCAGACACCTTCATTACAGGTTCCAGAATACACAGGCCTTCATTCTGCTCATACCTGTCTGTGTCCTGTATTTTGACTGTGAACTTTATGGGTGGGAACCTTGTTTATATCACATGTCTCTGTTTTGTGGGGCCTAGTACGGAACCTGTTACCAGAAAGTCCTCAGTATGTGGGTCCCTCCTTCCTCTTTCCTCCCTCAACCTAGTCCTGGCTGGGTCAGTGTTGAAATGAGTGATGGTGAAGTCTCTTTCACTTTGCATCTTACAGCCCTATCTGTAGAAGGATGGGGTGGGCTGAGGCTTTTTCTGTCTCTTATATTCCCCTACCCACTATGCTCTTCCCTGGCCCCTGCCAGTCACCCGCCACCCTTTGCCACGGCAATGCTTAACCATCTGGAAGCTCTTACCTTGTAGAGCACTAGGAAAATCAACAGTAGTAGTACTAGCCCCCCAATGCCACTGAGCACATACAGGTGCAGCATCTCCTTCTCGTAGACCACATCAACCTTCATGAGGACCTGGGGAGGAGAGCTAGGTGAGGGCAGGAGAAGCCCACCCACCCTAAAGGCCCGGTGTGCCCGGTACATCCCCAGTCTTATGTGTGGGTTCATCATAGCCTGCTTTCCTGCAGATGTGCCACCCATTGCCCTCACCAGTCACTTGGCCACATGTATCATAGGCTGCTCTGGGGTCTCCAGGGCACCAGGAGGAAGCACCTCCGCTGGGCACTCAAAACCCAGAAGAACCTGCTTTCTGTGTTTAGACCCATCTTCTGGCCACACTGAATGGCCTGATCCCTGGGCTAGCGGCCCTTTGCTAAGGTACCATTGCCTGATCTTTAGCAGACACCTGAGTCTGTAACATCTCAGACAAGTGACTCTGCAGTTGGCTGGCAGACACCCAAGTCTACAACATCTCAGACAAGTGACTCTGCAGTTGTCTTGCTTCCCAGTGAGGTGGGACCTCCTGTTCCACAACGTGAATTAGAGGTGCCTCTGCCTGGGGCCAAGCTTCCCTTCTCCCATGTGACCCCTCCGTATGAGCTCTGCGTGGGTTCCCGAACCTCTCTGCTGTCTGTTTGCAGGCTTCTGAAGTGTGTACCTGGGCCATGGAGGCTTTGCTGCCATACAAGTGGAAATGCTTGCTGCTGTTGAAGGAGATGGAGAGGGAGCTGCAGAGGCTGAGCGTGGAGGAGGCCTGCGGAGGAGGAGAGTGTCAGAACAGGACTGAGACCCCAGACTTCTGCCCACCTGCACAGGGAAGGAGAGGACCCAATTTTCTGCCTCATCTTATTACTCTGCTGTGATAGTCTAACGTGCCACTCACTCCTCAGTGTCAGAGGGGGATTTCCTAGAAGTAACTACCCCTGGCGACCGTGGCACATGGCTCTCACCCCAGTACTTAGGAGGTGATGGTTGGAAGATCATAAGGTGCAGGCTAGTCTGGCTACATAGTGACTCAAAAGCAAACAAAGCCGGCTGTGGTGGCGCACGCCTGTGATCCCAGCACTCGGGAGGCAGAGGCAGGCGGATCTCTGTGAGTTTCAGGACAGCCTGGTCTGCCCAGTGACTTCCAGTGTGATATAAAAATCCTGTCTCAAAAAACCAAAACCAAAATAAAAATGAACAACAAGCCTCCCCCACAGAAACACCCTATGAATTTAAACAAATCCAGCCAGGTGATTTGTTGTAGTTTGTTTGCAGCTATGCAGATCTGCGTATTATTTAAGAAGAGACAAATGGAGGGAGCCCATGTGGGAAGCCCACCCCCATCACTCCTAAGGCAAATGGATCCTCAACACCCCTCACTGCCAACTACAACTACCTTAATTTCCTCCGAGAGTGCCACTGTCCCAGTCACTTGGATGAGGGTCTCCTGCCTGAAGACAATTGGACAGCGGAACAGAATTCCAGGTAGACAAGGCTGTTGTGGTCAAGAACACCAGTCAGAGAGGCCACCATCCCAGCTTACTGCTCACCACCCACCTGATCCCTCAGCTCACACACCCATACCTCAGTTTCATTAGATGGCCTCTTCATGTCCTCACTGTGGCAAAAGACAGGAGGGTCCTAGGGATTGGAAGTGGGGTCTTCAGTAGGCCTGAAGCCTCTTGCTCCCCCACAGAACTCAGACACCCCCTCCAAGATATCCCTTGTCCAATTCAGACATCACTGAGTCCATGGAAATGCAGCCCATCCATCCACATTCCCTTCCTACATAGAGCTGTTTCTCACCATGGAGCAGCTCACTGTGCCCTCTTCGGAGTGGTACTCACCATCTGTACAACCCATGTGTGTGTGATGGGGCCCTCACTGGGAGGCTGCGGCACCCCAACCAAGGCCTCCAGTGTAGGCATGCTGTGGTCATAGGCAGAAGGCTGAATCCTCACCTGGGAAAGCGCAGAGACCGAAAACCTTGAATGGCGACTACCCCGACGACTACCCACCCTGTGTGACCCGAGGCGCTGCCTGGGTGAGTTCTAGAGCCTGTTACCTTATACGCAGTACATAAAGATGGACCATACCTGGCTCTGTCCTAGTGCCTTCTTGCAAGTGTGGTTAAGAGCACTGGTTGCTCTTCCAAAGGACCCAGGTTCAGTTCCCAGCACCCACGTGGCGATTTGCATCCATCTATAACTCCAGTTCCAGAGGACCAAACTCCTTCTGGCCTCTGGAGGTACCAGGCTTGCAAGTGATGCACAGACATAAAGAAATAAAATTTAAAAAAAAAATAAAAGAAAGTGTGACTTCGAGAACCCTTCCCCATGGAAGTTCATACCTGGTAGATATGGTGGACTTGCTGGGTCTTGGGACCTTTAGGGGTGAAACTGGTGTACAGCGTGGAGTTCTCCTGGCTGTGGAGAGAGAATTTCAGAGATGGAAGGTAGAAGGAAAACAGTCCAGACCCCCAGAAGCCTCGGAGCCTGGGGCACTGTGCTAGGGATTTCACAGCACCTTGTCCCGTGGTCCTGCTAAGGCCAGGAGAGAGACAGGACTGAAGCTTGGGAATCCACGTCTTCACTACCACACGCCCCCTTCACTAGGGTCTCGCTCGTCTACACAGCCGTCTCTCCCTGTGTGTCCTTCCCGTGCACAGCCCTCCGACTCCCACGACACCACCCTGCCTGCAGCTCACCTGTTCACACCAGCCGCCTCCCACTACTCTCCTGTACACGCCGCGGGTGTTGGAGGCTGCCACTAGCGGTCCCTCTCTGAGCCGCCTCCTTGCCTACGCTCTGCTCACGGTCTCCTTCCTGGCCCTCACCCTGGTGCCTCCAAATGGAAGGTCAAGGCCAGCTTTCTCCGTGAACCTTCCCTCTCTGCAACACCTGGCCCGTCTTTCCCACCTACACCACCTGGCTATGTTTAGAAGCACTAGCTAAAGGCTTGAGCTCAGACGGCAGCTACATTCTCGCCACGTCGACCCACTTTCAAAAGCCACTGTGCTCTCTGTGTGGTAACCAGAACACCCGGCTAGAGACCCTTGGAGTCTGCCACCCACTGCATGCTGACGCCACTGACTCCACGTGTCTGAGTCTGCTCTGACTAGACGGTAAGGGGATGGAGGGCAAAGGTCATCGTATGAAATGTTCCTCCACACTCTTCCAGCACTGTAATCCCAGGAGAGAGGGAATCTATGCAACCAAGTGCTTTGGAATCAGACAGACTTGAGCTTTGTCTTTCCAGCTGTATGGCCCTGGGCAAACGCCAGCCTTCTCGGGACCTGTGTTCATCAGTAGGGTGCAGAGGCTCCTCACAGGGGTAAGGGAAGCTGAAGAGAGTGCCTGCCACCAGTCAGTCGACGGCATGCTTCTCCACAGGAGAACACTGACTGGATTCACACAGAGCTCTGAAGGGGTCTCCCACAGGAGAACACTGACTGGATTCACACAGAGCTCTGAAGGGGTCTCCCACTTTGGATGGGGATGAGCTCTGACTGAACCCGAGACATCTGAGAAGGGAGAGGGCTGGGGGTGGGGGACTCTGAGTGACAAGGACACCATGTGGGAAGACTGGGGTAGAAGGAGGGAGTGACTGAGCCCAGTGGCACTCACTCCTCCACAAGGATGTTGACTGGGTAGAGGGTAGGGATGCGTGTGGTGGCTGAGTTGTCCTCCAGGAGGCTTGCGTCCTCATTCTCACTGTGTGGGGCGAGGTGGAGGGACACCATCAGAAGAGCATGGCTGGGCTTCCTGGCCACCTAACTCCAGCCCCGCATGTGGATGGGCCTGCTTACCAGTGCACAGTGCCATTCAGCTCAACCAAATCTCCCCAGGAGCTGTTGAGCAGCGTGTTAAACATCACCTGGAGGCTGACCTGGTGGGGAAACAGGTGAGAGAAGACGGAGGTGTCTCGGGGTAACCTGAGTGTCTCAGGGCTCCAGCTGGGTTTCCAGCCCTACAGTGACTGTGGGGTGTGTACTTCCTGTGTCTTTGGCACTGGGTAAGTCTCATCCCCACTGCATAGACGAGGAGATCGAAGCTCTGGGGGCTGAGTGAGGTGTGCGAGGCCACAAAAGGGATTAGCCCAGTCTCCGGGCTGTCTCATCCCACAGCCAGGCTCAGGGATGCAAAACAGCTCTGGATACTGCTCTCTTGTGACAGGATAGACCCTTCCGGCCAACTACCTGCTCCCTCCCCAGAACCAAGATCTCCTCCCTGTTTGCCAGCTCAGGCCCTGGGGGCGGCCACCCAACACCCACCTTCCAGCCTGCTTTGAAGATGGGAGAGCTGACATTGCAGGCCAGTGTCTTAGTCAGGAGGCTCGACTCGTCAGCCAGCTCCTGGCAGCTCACAGGAACTCTGCTGTGTGGCTGAGGATGAGGAAACATTTTGTGAACAAGGTCCAGGGTCCCCCCAGAGGCCACTAACTCTCAGGGCTTGTAGCTTGCGGGACTGTGTTCTGCCACGACACATACTCAGACGGGAAGGCCCAGAGGAGGCAAAGACAAAGGCATAACTGAACCTAACAGTGCATGTCTTCCGTTGCTGCTACCCAAGAGGCTGAGGCAGGTGGATTGCCTGAACCCAAAAGTCTGAGTCCAACCTGGGCAACATTGGGATACAATATTAAACAAAACAAACCATGTAGAGTGAAATAAGCCAGCTATGCACATGTTGTGAGTCCACTGCTACATGTAATCAATATTTAAATTCACAGAATAGTATATGAGAAGTTGGCATGAGACCAAGAACAGGGAATGACACCTCATGTTCAACAGGCTTGAGATGACATAAGTGTTCTGGAAAGATAGTTGTATGACAATGTGACTAGACTCAACGTCAGTGAGCTGTATGCCTAGGAATGGTTAGAATTCTAAAACTTATATATATTCACCACACACACAAAGCTAAAAGTAAGCCAGGCAGTGATGAGGTACACCTTTAATCCCAGCACTCAGGACGCAGAGGCAGGAGGATCTCTGTGAGTCTCAGTATCCCAGACTTGACCTTCTCACATACCCCCAGGACCTCCCATCTCTGTCTCCATCTCCTCAATACTAGGAGTGCAGGCAGGCACCACCCTTCCCAGTTGTATTCGGTGCTGGAAGGAACGCAGGGCTTCATGCCTGCTAGGCAGGCACACTAAAAGTCCTATTCAACACAATGGAGGACACTTCTCAAAGGGACTTCAGCCATCTCCTGGGGACGCAACTTTATGTTTATGCTACCAAGTGTGCTAAAGACATCACCCCAGAGCCTCTTTCATACACTTCTTTCTCTTCCTTTCCTCCTTCTTATTTATTTATTTATTTATTTTTGGTTTTTGGGTTTCTCTGTATTGCTTTGGAGCCTGTCCTGGCTGGAACTCGCTCTGTAGACCAGGCTGACCTTGAGCTCACACAGATCCACCTGCCTCTGCCTCCCAAGTACTGGGACTAAAGGTGTGTGCCGCCAATGCCTGGCATACTTTTTAGAAGGCATTATTTTAGCTGAGCATGATGACTTATACCCTCAATCCCAGCACTTGGGAAGCAGAGACAGGTGGATCTCTGTGAGCTCAAGGCCAACCCGTTCTACGTAGTGAGTTCCAGGCCAGCCAGGGTTACATTTGAGTGCCTGTCTCAAGAAAACAAAACATATACATACTTATTTGTTTTATATGTATGAGTGTGTAGTTGAGTTCGTGTGAGTGCGTGTATGTGTGTGTGTGCCCGCGGGCCTGCATGTGTATGTGTGTGTGTGAGTGTGTGTGTGTGTGTGTGTGTGCCCGCCCAGCACATGCACACAGGAGCCCATCAAAGTCAGAGGAGGAAACAGAACCCCAGGAATTGGGCGTTACAGCAGTTGTGAGCTACCATGTGGGTGCTGGGAACTAACCCTGGGTCCTTTAGAAGAGCATTCAGTACTCCTAACTGCCAAGCCTTCTCTCCAGTCCTTTTTCATTTTTTTCTAAGTATGTCAATGTATGAGGGTGCACTCATGTGTGAGCTTTTTACATGGGGACCAGACTCAGGTCTTCATGTGTACAAGACAAATCCTTTACCTACTGACTGAGCCCTATTCCATTTTCCCAGCCTCATTTTTTGGCACTAAAAACAGACTCCGAGGCCCAAAGAGCTTATGCCTCAGCTCAGGCTGGGAATGCAGACATGACCCTCAGAGCTGTACACATTAGCTGCCGTCCCACCTACTCTGGCCATCTAGGCTACCCAAAGCTCATACGGGAACAGGAGCCAGTGCGGGAAACTACTTGCAGGTGGCACCCTGGGGCTCACCTTGAGCATCTCCACTTTTCGGAAGGAGAGTCCCGGAGGGAAACTCAAGTCCAGCTGTACCCAGTAAGCATCCTCTCCCGAGTTGCTCAGCGTCCACTCCACAGCAAGGCTGGCGGAGGAAGTCAGACGCAGGACTCTGGATCTGGGGGATTGGGAGGTGAAAGAAAAAAGTCATGGGCGCCAAGATGGCAGGAGACAGCATTAGGTGAGGACCTGGGAGCTGAGGGAGCTGGCCAACCACAGACGTCAGCTCCCTCCTACGCCTAGGCTCAGTGCCCTAACACTGCCTAATCCCTGGCCAAGCTCTGCTAACAGCTGCCTTTCTCAGAGAAGGAAGGTGAGACCCAGAGGGAGGTTCTCATCCTCGCGGACACAGCCCATTTGTGAAGGGTCTTTGGACACTGCCTCAGCATTCTTCGCAGCTGCCTTGGGAAGATGGAGCTGCATTGAAGAAGGGGTCAAGGGACAAAGGCTTACAGACCTGGCAGCGGACGACAGGACCATGTCTGCCTCACACCTCTTGTCCTCGCCACAGTTCTTCTCAAACGGGATCTGGAAGGCCAGGACAGGGCCCGGAAGAAGGCTCAGGCACAGCTGGACAGGGACCCCAGGCCCTGCGTCTGCCTCTCCTCCCTCTTACCTCCTTAGTCACTGCGTGTACTGAAGGCCTCAGGATGGGCTGCGTGTCCCTGCCCTGTTGAGCATGGAGACGTGAAGACAGTACTCAGGTGAGTGAGCAGGTCTTGTGATGGGACAAGAGGGGCTTGGGGCTCAGCTGGAATGAGTGTGGTCTTCCTAAACCCACAGCCACACCCACAGCCAGGTGCATGGTCCTTCTCCAACCACAGCTCCACGGTAGGAGGATGGGGCTTGGGGTGCCTCTCCCCCCCTTTGTCTGCACTAGGACAAAGCAGACTGCATTTTCACCCTTGGCAGGAGCTCCTGGCTGTTGAGCGTCTGACCTCACCTGCCTGCCAGTGGCAACTGATGATCATGGACTGTAACCTCTGAGGCCACGAGCCCAAATGAACCTTTCTTCTTTATAAACTGATTTTCTCTCAAATACTTGTTATCAGAACAGAGAGTTAGCTAGTACACTAGAAGAAGAACAGGGAGAAGGAGAAGCAGCAGCAGAAGCATCCAGGAAATGGAGAAGAAAATTCAGAGGCTACAAAGGCCCTGCCTGAGGCAAGAGAGGCGGTCGGGTCTCCCAGGAGCAGGACTAGCTGGAGCACAGTGCTTTAGAAGGAGCAAGAAGACAGAGAAGAGTCCAGGTTCCACTGAGCCTTGTGGGCAATGCTGGGGCACTGGTATTATATTCTAAAGGTGATAGAAACCTGGGAGAACTTCAGAGATTATCAAAGTTGGATCTGGAGGACTCCAGCCTCCTGACTTTATGTGGATAGAGTCCTTGTGGACTCTGCTGGCTGCTCCACACCCACCTCAGCATCACAGAGGCGCCCACTGCCTACGGAACCATGAGCCAAGTGGGTGTCAGGGCCTTGAACTCCTCAGTTGTTTTTCTGAGAGAAGCGAGGTCCATCCCTTGACTGTAAAGCGTACACCACTCACACATCCCATCCCGTCCTGACGTCTCTGCCTAATCTACTCATTTTGTAAAACTCAGAACTTATGACATTCTCCAGGAAAGCGTCCTGATGTTGACAGTGACCTCAAGCACCCTTCTGATGTGCTGGATTTTCTTTAGAGGCAGTTGGCAGTCCCTGAACAGGGCTCTTCACCTCTTGCCTTAAGAACAACCTCCACTTTTTTCTTTCCTTTTTTTTCTTTCTGTTTATTCCCTTGTACAATACATCCCGACTGCAGCCTTCCCTCCCTCCTCTCCTCAGCCCCGCCACACTTCCCCTCTCCCCCAGATCCACTGCTCCTCCATGTCCCTTCAGAAAAGAGCAGCTTTCCAGGGATGTCAGTCTCTTACCCCCCACTCCCCCACCACACACAGGGAGGGTTTCTCTGTGTAGCCCTGGCTGTCCTGGAACTCACTCTTTAGACCAGGCTGGCTTCTAACTCAGAGATCCCCCTGCCTCTGCCCTCTGAGTGCTGGGTTTAAAAGGCCTGCACCACCACTGCCCAGGAAGTCTCTACTTTTCTTAGCCTTTCTTGAAGCTGAATGTGATCATATGACCAAATTACCATCCCTAGAATGTCAGTAGTAGTGTCATATAGATTTTTTAGGAAATATTCTTCAAGGGAAGCTATGTATACTGCTCTGTCCTCGTTGGTCAGGTACACAAATGAGGTAACCATAGCTCAGGCATCTTGGAACACAAGATGCCACCACCACAGAAACCACACAGCCCTAAAAGCAAAAGTGTTTTTGGTCTTTGCAAATAGTTTGTTGACTCCTGATTTAGAAGTACAAGAGCCAAACCTGCCTTGTACAATAGAAAGACTTCACACACACACACACACACACACGCACACACACGCACACGCACACACACACACACACACGCGCGCGCACACACACACACACACACACACACTATGTAATAGAAGAGGGTTTTTTCCCATCATGCTTAGCTGGGTGTGATGGCTCACGCCTATAACCCTAGCAATTAGGAAGTTGAAGTAGCAGGCAGGGTTATTAAGCATTCCAGGCCAACCTGGGTTACAAAATGAGATGGAAAGAGGGAATGTCTCCAAACAAACAAAAGTCAAACAGGCAAAAAGCCAGTTTTAATGTAGACCTCTATTATTTGAAGTTGAGTAGGCCTAGGAGGTATCTTGGCCTAGAACAGATCTAGTCACTTCTTGTATGATTCAGAGGCCTAGGTCCCACACATGCTAAGGCTGAACTCTCTAGTCCTCCTTCCTGACAGAACTGTGCTCTCTCTAGGGCTTCAGGGTACCATCATCTACCATATCCTAAGGACAAATGGTCTCTGTCTTTTGCGTCTCTGTGCATCTCAAGCTCCTGGGAATCCTGCTCTAGAGAGTGTCTTTAATGGATCTCCTCCTCCACATTCCCAGAGTGCCTGGCTATTGCCTGGTGGGACCCACCACCTCTACATCCTCCCTGCTTCTAGGTTTGTGCTGTGGCAGTGCAACCCACATCAGTGCTGGGACTGGCTGCTTAAACGTCCACGTGACAGTAGCAATGTCTTTCCGCTTTCCCATGTGTCTGGTCCTGCCCTACAGGCCTTTGGTTGTCTCCATACATTTCGGGTATGAACACCATCCAGGCCGAGTCCCTGGCATTGGGTCAGGGGTGTGAGTGTGACGAGGTGACAACAATGGTCTGGTCTCTCTTTAACTTGGTTGGCAGACATCTGACAGAGTACAAGGCAATGAGCTACACACAACATGAAGAGAGCTCCCTAAGCTGGGCAACCGGCCACATGCCTGCAATCAGGTTTGGGAGATGGAAGCAGGTAAACCAGGAGTTGGAAGAAGACCCAGGCATCATAGCAAGCCCCAGGCCAGTCTGGGCTATATGAAGCAGGGAGCGGGGAGGAAAGAAAAGAGAGGGAGAGAGAAAGACTCTCGGTGCCTTTGTCCAGGTGTCTGGATACAGATACACATGAAGTAAGGCCTGTGCTTTAGTCTGGTTTGATCAACGCCCCATCTTGCTTACATCAAGTTTTAGTTGGATTTCTGACACTGGCATTCAAACCACCCAAGAGGAGCTGGAGAGATAACCCAGCAGTTAGGAGCACTGACCACTCTTCCAGAGGACCCGGATTAGTTCCCAACACCCTTGTAAATGGTAGCTCAAAGCTCTAGTTTCAGGGGATATGTGCCCACTTCTGACCTTCATGGGCACATATGTAGTGCAAATACATGCATACAGGCAAAACACGCATGCATATAAAATTAATAACTACGAGAAGAATTCAGCTCATGAATATATAGCATTCCATTTTCCCACATAGAAATTCTTTCATGTTTCCACAATGCTCTTAGCTGGTTCCTAACTCTATCTGCCTCATCTCCCCCTTTGTGCCTTTCACCCCGCAGTCTCCAGTGTCTTTTGCCTATACCACATTGTATCTTTCTGCACGCTTGGGGACCTCTGGGTCACCTCTATGGGCAGATTTGCCTTACCCCCTCAGATCTCTGGCATACATTACTGCGGCCTGGCCCATGATTCCACAGCAGCGCCATTGAAGAGGGTTGTCGCCATGGCCTCTCTGGCAGCAGGCTGTGAGCTCCTCCAGGACAGGGTCACACTCATGGACCACAACAAGATGGGTGCCCAGAGGTGGCACAGCACAGAGAGGGCCTCAGTTAGCTTTGCGGTCGGGCAGCCGGTACACCGTGTTTGTTTCATTGTAAGCACTCTGCCCTCACCTCCAAATCCCAGCATGGGGGCGGGGTGGGGATGCACCCCTCGCATGGTGCCATAGGCACAGAAAGACTTTGATGGCCACCACACAGGCCTCCTCTGGCTCTGGAAGAGCCCCACTAAGAGGAGACGGTGGGGCGAGAACCCACTGAGGCTTTGCCAGGAAGATTCACAATCGGGCTCCCAGGCCACCTTCTTCCCCCAGACCCTGTTGCCTCTCACCAGCCCAACCGCCAGCCAAATGTCAAGTGTTTCAAAAGAGGACGTCATGCTTCTGGCCCTGCGTAGGCAGTGTCTGATCTTGGGAATTACAATAGAAGCTTTCCCCACTAGTTTTATAGACCCCAGTTTGAATTGGATACCCAAGGGAGAGAAAGCTAATTAAGGTGCCCTGTCATTGTAACATCAAGGGACAGGGCTGGTCCAAAGCTAACCCTTCTGAAGCTCTCCCTGGAGTGTATGTTAGACAGTGCTGGAGAGTAACGTGGTTAGGGCTGATGCCTAGCAGGACCTGGAACAGGTTCACTGAACACTGGCTTGCCTTCTTTCCAACGCGGTTTTAAGTGCAGACTCATGAATTCCCTTCTTGCTTAAGTAACACATATTCACTTTACTGTTGCTACATAGATTTTCCAGCCTTCCCTTTAAAACATCCATCCCTCCATCAGTCTTACCATCTTTCGGTCCCTCGGTGTTCCTTCTTCCTCCAAAAGAGAGAAATTCAGAGAGACATTGATAGGAGAAATGAGGTCTTGAATGCAGACCTGAGGGTGAGGACACAGCAGCATGATGAATCTAATCAAAACCACAATTCAGACCAAGTGAGAGCGTGCCTCGTCTGTACTTGACCAGTGGTAACATTCTATCAGTTACGCGTTAAGACCTCATCATTTCCCACTGTACACACATGAATGCACTAAACACATTTATTATGTATCAGGCATTTATAATGTGTTTCCCAGTACAAGCTTTCATTCCTCATTGCCAGACATCACTAATCAGTCCCACAGTTTTCCACAGGATTGTAATGGAGGCACTTGAACCATCTGTGGTGGTTTGAATGAGAATGTCCCCATAGGCTCATGTGTTTGTACACTTGGTCTCCAGCTGATGGAACTGTTTGGGAAGGGTTAAGAGGTGTGGCTTTGTTGGAGGAGGAGTGTCACTGTGGGTGAGCTTTGAGGTTTCAAAAGCCCATGTCATTCCCACTTACCTTTCTCTGCCTCTTGCTTAGAGATCAGAGGTAAGCTGGCAGCTACTCTGGCAACATGCCTGCCTGCCATGCCTGCCTGCCTGCTGCCATGCTCCGTGCTGTGATGGTCATGGACTCACCCTCTGAAATTGTAAGCTAGCTCCAACAAAATCTTTGTTCTATAAATAGCTTGGCCATGGTGTCTCTTCATAGCAACAGAAAAGTAACTAAGACACCATTGTTAAGTTGGTCCAGACATGGTGGTTCATGCTGGGACTTAAGAGGCTGAGGCAGGAGGATTACATAGTACTCCATGCCAGCCTGAGCTACAAAGCAAGACCTTTTTCAAACAATTTTTCAAGATTGTTTTAGGGAGCTGAAAGGTGGCTTATTGGTTAAGAGCACTGACTGCTCTTCCAGAGGAATCTGGTTCCATTCCCAGCACCCACAAACCTAGGAAATCCAATGCCTTATGTCCTGCTTGGACACCAGGCATGCAAGTGGTACAAAGACATACATGCAGGCAAAATACCCATGTATATTATACATGTACATCTATATAATACACATATGATATACAAATGTTATTATATACATACATTTATTTAATAATATTTATTATGTATATATCTATTCTAAACAGCCACTATCAAATTTCTTTTTTTTTTTTTTTTTTTTTTTTTTTTGGTTTTTCGAGACAGGGTTTCTCTGTGGCTTTGGAGGCTATCCTGGAACTAGCTCTTGTAGACCAGGCTGGCCTCGAACTCACAGAGATCCGCCTGCCTCTGCCTCCCGAGTGCTGGGATTAAAGGCGTGTGCCACCAACGCCCGGCCACTATCAAATTTCATGGAAGACTATTCCAGAATAATTAGGCTATTCCTCCTTTGACTACAGAGATCAGATCTATCTTTTGTCATTACTAGTGACCATAACAGTGTAGTTAGGCTCTCAATTTGAACTATGCCTAAGGAGCCTACAGATCTTAAGAGGTGAGCACAATCATTCCCTATTCATAATGAGGGAAAGAGCTCTAAAAACTGATGCGATTGTCTTCAGACCTAGAACTGACAGGAACAGAGCCAAGGGCTCCTGTGTCATATGGATGTCTTCTCTGGCAAATTTATGTCTTAGGTTTCCAGAGTTAAAAGGGTGGGGTGGGAGGGTCAGAGGGACACAGTACTAGTTGGGGGCAAACTGAGACTGTGAGTGGATAATTGTCCAGGGTGGGTGCTAGTGCCTGGGCAATGGTCTGGTTCTGTATGTTTGACACCCCAGAGAAGGAACCTAACACAAGCAAACTCCATCTAGACATTTCAGCAACTGTCCAAAATCATATTAAAATAAAATGGGGCCAAGGGCTGGTGAGACGGGTCAGGGGTTGTTACTTCAAGAGGTCCTGGGTTCAGGTCCCAGCACCTGCACAGTGGTTGGCAACCATCTGTGAGGGAGCTGATGCTTCTTCTGACGGGCAGGTGCACATGCAGGTAGAGCCCTCATAGACACGTATATAGCACACAAGTAAACCTTTGAAAATTAATTAACTAACTAATTAATTGGGGAGGGGGTTGGGTGTGGTGGCTCACACCTTTTATCTCAGCACTCAGTAGGCAGAGGCAGATGGATCTCTGTGAGTGAGGCTAGCCTGGTCTACAGAGCGAGTTCCAGGACAGCCAGGACTTCACAGAGAAACCCTGTCTGGAAAAACAAAAGCAAAATAAAGCAGTCAGCGTCGCCTGTCACAGCTGTATGCTGACAGAGCCAAGCCTGTGCCCTCATTGCTTCTCACTGCTCTCAGCCCTTCCCAGAACGCCGGCACCAGCTCCCTTACCGGGAAGTGAAACGAGAAGTCCATGCAGGACTTATCTGGGGTGACAGATGTGTTCCCACTGAGCTCATGGCTCCCTCCTGGGAACAGACCTCGGCTCCTCGACCGATGGCCATCCAGCTGCAGAGTGTAGCTAAGGTTGACATGCAGGTGACCTAGGCACGGAGGAAGGCAAGAATTGAATGATGGGGGGTCCTCCCGACATTGGGGGCTCTTCTGGGAGCAGGGGGACGGCACTGACCCTGAAACTGAGGTGTGAGAGGCAGGATCTGGAGGCACACCTTGAGTGTGACTCCTCCCTTCTGCTCCGGGCTGCCTGAGAAGGAGCACTCCACCTCCTGCACCGGGATTTCGTTTGGGGAGAAGGACATCTCAGTGACAACGTCCACTACTGGCCTCGAGCTGCAGAGCAGAAAACCGAGCGTCTCTCCCTGAAGCACATCCCACTGGGCCTGTGGCACACATTTGGGAGCTCTGTCCAGCAGAGGACAGAGGACTCCCTCGCCATGTCACTGTCAAACGTCCCTCAATAACAGCAGCAGCGACAACTATGGCTTTCCTAGTTCACTAGCCTTGTGACCCACTTTTCCATAAAGAAATGATCCTTGAAAAAAGAGAAACCAGGCAGTGAGGTGATGCCTTAGTAGGGGTAAAGGCGCTAACCATCTAGACTAGCGACGAGAGTTTGGTTCACAGGACCCACATGCAGAAACAGAACAGACTGCTACAAATTGTGCTTTGACTTCCACATTTGTGCACAGCACACACGTGTGAGTGTGAGCACACGCTCCCACAGGCACATGCACACACAATACATACATAAATAAACAAACATAACTTCTTGTTTTTGAGATAAGGTTTCACTACATATTCTTGACTGGCCTGGAAACTGCTCTGTAGACCAGGCTGAAATTGAACTCAACAAAGATCCACCTGCTTCTGCCTCGCAAGTGTTGGGATTGAAGGAGTGCGTCACCACAAACAGCTCGATAAACATGATTTTCAAGAAGGCTGTCAACGGTGTGGTTCAGCAGGTAAAGGCACTTGCTCCCAAGCTTGATCACCAGGGTTCAGTCTAGAGAAGCTACACGGTGGAAAGAGAAACCTGACCCCCATCAATTGTCCTCTGACTCCCTATATGCACACCCACATGCACAAATAAATGAATAAATAATAAATAAATAAATGCTGTTTGGAGAGATAGAGAGAGAACAAGAGGAATCAGAGTGGCACACCTATAAGCACTCTTAAGCATGAGACAAAGACCACAACCTAGGCTAGTGAGATCCTAAGAGGGCGACAGGGAGAAAGAGAGAAAGAGAGAGAGAGATACCCACATGATACAGTGGTAGGTTCTATGCTGGGTTTTATGGTATTAAGAAATGGACTTAGAGACTGTGCCCATTGCCATATGGCAGGCAGGCAGGCAGGCAGGCAGGCAGATATAAGGTCTTACTATGTAGGCCCTGGTTGCCCTGGAAATCACTATGTAGACCAGGTCATGCTATATAATGTTCAGAATACATTTCAAGCTTTTTATTACCCATGATGTGTTTATTGCCTGTCTCAACAGCCTTGTTTCCTACCACAGTGTCCCTTGGGACAACCACATTCTAGCCACACTTCCCCTCTTTCCTGTCAGCCTTCTACTTCCTTATGGCCTTGGCACATGCTGGGATTTCTAGAAAGCTCTTAGCCTAGGCTTCTCACAGCCTACACATTTTCAATTTTCAGTTCTCAGCTCCAACACCAACCCCCAGAGAGGCCCGGATCTGCAACAGGCTGTCTCTGCTACTGTCTCCCAGGAGCCTGCTCTCCTTGTAGCCAACAGTCCAGCTTTATGTTTTCATTATACATATCCTCACACACACACTAGGGGCACAATGTCTGACCCAGTGTTCAAGATATGGCAGGTGCTGAGCATGGTGGTACATCTCCATGATCCTGGCAGAGAGAGGTAGAGGCACCAAGACCTTGACTCCAAGGACAGCCTGGGCTACCATACTAAGCTCTAAGCCAGCCTGTACTCCAACGTGACCCTAAACAAAATCCCCCAAATAAAAAACAAAACAGAAAAGTCTTGGTGAGCAGGCTAAGGGTGGGGTGCAGTGATAGAATGCGTCCCAGCCTGCACAAGGCTCTGGTTTCCATCCCCAGCACTGCCACAAGGCAAAAGGGGGCCGGCAAGAGGACTCAGTGTCAGGGTAGAGGAGTTTGCTTCCAAGCCTGACAGCATGAGTTTGATCCTGGGACCCACAGGGTGGAAGGAGAGAACTGATTTCCAAGAGTTGCGTTCTGATCCTCACATGTAGTGTGGCATGTGCCTGAGAGCACACACACACACACACACACACATAGACACACACACACACATAGACACACACACACATAGATACACACACACACACATAGACACACACACACATAGACACACACACACATAGACACACACACACATAGACACACACACACATAGACACACACACACATAGACACACACACACACATAGACACACACACACACATAGACACACACACACACATAGACACACACACACACATAGACACACACACACATAGACACACACACACACATAGACACACACACACATAGACACACACACACATAGATACACACACACACACATAGACACACACACACATAGACACACACACACATAGACACACACATACATAGACACACACACACATAGACACACACACACACATAGACACACACACACATACACACACACATACACACACACACACACATAGACACACACACAGACACACACACGCACACACACAAATGAACATAACTTTTAAAGGCATACTATGTGATATCTATTCCCTGTGCCATGTGGCTAACAAAGCAGGAAATGTCACCAGCACTTCAAACATGGAGAAACTTTGGTTCCAAAAACCCAAGGCAGCAGAATTTAACATCATATAATGCTTTTAGGACCAGAGAGACTTGGGTTCAAACCTCTTCTCTGTCTTTGAGTAGCGACTGCTGAGCCTGGGGTAAGACATGGAAACCGTGAAGGAGGGCTGGCCCCCGAGCCCCCGAGCATCGCAGTGCAGTGTCCCCAGCTTCAGGAAGGAAGAGAGCCACCCTGATAAGGACGACTCAGGAAGCCCATCTTACCTCAGCACAATCACCCGGCCCTCAGCTCCTACAACTACATCTGCCAGCCTGTCCCCTCCAAGGTCCTTCACCCCATGGATGGAGCGTCCAAACCACTGGATTCCTGGGGACACCTGGGTTCCTTGTATTCTCTATGAGGGAGCAAGAGAGAAATGGGTGCTAAACTGGGAGAGGCCAGGTGCAGGAACCGAAGTCAAGGATCAGCCTGGGCCATGAGCTTGGAGGCTTCAAGGCACATGCATGGGCAGGCGGGGTTCCTTACCTGGCTTGGTTGGGGACTGAGTCCTCCAGGCTGCCCATTGAAGATATACACAGCCCCCTGCTCCTCCAGAGGGGCTCCCACGGCCACGTCTGTCAGCCCATCCCCATTGATGTCTGTCAGGGCAGTGATGGCAGCACCAAACCGCCCAAGTGGGTAACCAGGGTTGCCCAGCAGCTCTGAGACCATGCTGAACACCTTCAAGAAAGGAGAAGGATTGTATGTTATCCCCTTAATCTCAGCAAACTCTCCCAGAATGTGGCGTTGTGGTCGATGCATTGAAGAGCCCAAAGAAACGGTGTGGCCAAGTCCCCCCAAAGCATCACAATGCCACTGTCAGGCTGACAGCCCAGTTTGCTTCTGTTTACATGACCTTGTGGCTCTGGGAAGTGAGGGAGCAGCATTCCTAGCCTTGTGCTCACATCTGTAGTGTAAGGCTCTGAGTGCTTAGGAGGCAATCAAACAATGAAATGAGGCATGTGCAGGAGGTGGCATGCTCCTTCCCAGCTAAGATGCTTAGCACCTTCCCTTGTGCAATAGACCCCAAAGACTATCATGTCAGCTGCTGTTCGTTGTTTAGGGGTTTGGTTGGCATATCCAAGGAGGAGCCCTTCAGGATAACCCAGACCAGAGCCTCTGCCTCACCCCTGGCCTGCCTCAGTGGGAGTCCTGGTCCTCACCTCTCTTTTCTGGTAGATGAACACTCGGCCTCCTCTCTGCTCCCCATAGAACAGGGGTGCTCCAATCAGCAACAGCTCTGTCTCACCATCGTGATCCAAGTCAATGCTACATAGCTCCCCACCAAAATAAGATCCAATCTGTGGGGACAGGAAGGCATCCGACAAGAGTCAACAGGGCCAGCAGGAGGTGCAGATTCCCCCAGCCCCAACCCCTCAGCTGCACCATGCCCACCTTCTCCCATCTTAAATGCAGGATCAGGTCTAGGTTGTACCCTTGAGCTAATGTGAATTAAGAGTTGAGCCCCGGGAGGGTCAGTGTCTTAAGGCAGAAAGTGGAGAAAGCTGTTCTAAGCAGCAAACACGATTCACCCCACACAGTGCAGTGTTTGCCGGGCATAGGACTCATCCCTCATGTTGCACGGGCAGATGCCCTTCCTGTCACTCTCACCTGAGTCCCTTCTATTTTCTGGATCTGACTCCAGTTTCCTCCGGCTTTGGGTACTTGGAAGAGCAGTACTTGCCCCACATGCTGGTATCGTGGGGCTCCCACTGCCAGTAGTGACATGGAGCCACGGGAGGGCATCCAGGCCACAGTGTAACCTAGTGAGACAGAGGCGAGAGACTTGGAGTTAGAAGCACGAAGGTTGCTGGGAGAAAGGAAGCCCAGGACATTGGGCTCATAACCAAGAGACATGGAAATAGCCGGAAGACCTTTTCCCTAAGAGAGGCAGCCCTATGCACTGAACAGCCTTACCACGCCCAAACTTCTCAGTTGTGGACAACCTGACCCAGGGAACAGCCAGCCATGTGCCGATGGACACCGTGTCTGCTGTGCACAATTTACTTTATTTCATATATGTGAGTATTTTACCTGCAGATACACAATGCCCCATGTGTACACTTAGCAACCATGGAGATCAGAGGAGGGTGTCAGATCCCTTGAAACTGGTGTAACAGGTGGTTGTGGGCTACCATGTGGGTATTGGGAATCAAACCCCAGTCCTCTGTAAGAGCAGTCAGTGCTCTAGGTCACTGAAGTCGTTTTTCCCACCCTTCCCACAAGGTTTAGCCAAGAAGGGAAAGCCCAGCCAGATGCAGGTGGTACCATTTCATGCTGAGGCCCGGGACTGAAGGAAAAGTAATAATTTTTCTATTTTTCAGCGATGAATTGTGACAAGCCACCTCAAACCCCTGCCACCGTGCCTTTCCGACCAGTGTACTGCGTCCCTTCCTAAACTGTGAGGCAAAAATAGTCCCTCCCTCCATGCGTTGCCTCGTCAGGGATGTTTGTCATAGCAACAAAATAAGAGACTCACTCACAAACTATTCTCAGAAGGCAAAGAGCTGGGCATGGTGGCGCCCACCTTTAAATCCGGCAGTTGGGAGCTAGAAGCAGTTGGATTTCTGAGTTCGAGGCCAGCCTGGTCTACAATGTAAGTTCTAGGACAGCCATGGCTACACAGAGAAACCCTGGCAAAGTTGATGTGCTGGTACACACTTGTAATCGACTCTCTAGGCAGGAATCTGCAAGTTCCACATCAGCCGGTCTACTCACACCAAAAGGAAAGGGTGGGAAGGATGTGTGAGAAACAGCCATTCTTAAACATGTTACTTCAAAACCCTTTTTAGGGCCGGAGAGCTGGCTCAGCAGTTAAGATCACTGGCTGCTTTTCTGCAGAGGATCCAGGTTTGAGAACGAGTATCTATGGTGGTTCACAGTACCAGAGTATATGATGCCCTCCTCTGGTCTTCAAGAGCACTACATGCAAAAAGTACACAGACATACATGTAGACAAAACCATACACATACCATAAAAATATAGATGCCTTGAAATGTCTCAAAAACAAAAATCTTTTCACCAAGATGGCAGTAAAAGTAAAAAAGAAATCCCCATCCCCTCTCACCCTGAGACCACAAGCATTGCTGAATGACATCCACAGCCATCCAAACGTGACCACGTGTCACCCACTTTCTGGTGACCCAAACTACCGTGGCTGTGGAGGCAGAAGAGCACCCCAGGAGAAGCACTGTCACCCAGTTCCCCTGGCCACTCTGGCGAGGACAGCAAGCGCCTGTGCACTGTGGACAAGGCCAGATCAAGCAGGCTGTGAAGCCCTCTAAGCCACTGCTGGGGCCCAGATCAAACCTTGATAAGGTTCAGCAAGAAATAGAGGGCACATGCCCCCAGCTGCTGCCCTGGGTGTTGCCACAATAAATAAACAAAAGTAAATATGGAGCTGGGCACTTTAACCCCAGCACTTGGGAGGCAGAGACAGGTATATCTTTGAGTTTGGAGGCCAGCCTGGTCTACACAATGAGTTCCAGGCAGGAAACTTTGTCACCCCCCAAAAACAAAGCAGTAAATACAGTTCAAGAGTCTATCAAATAGGCTGGAGAGATGATGGTTCAGTGATTAAGAGCACTGACTGCTCTTCCCAGAGGACCCAGGTTCAATTCTCAGCATCCACATGGCAGCTCACAACTGTCTAACTCCAGTTCAAGGGGACCTCACACCCATGGCAAAGCACCAATGCACATAAAATAAAATAATTAATTTTTAAAAAGGAGTCTGGTTCTTTTTAGAACAACTGAAAATAAGAAAAGCACAGGAAAGGAGGAGACTGAATGTCCTCCCTGACCAGTGAGTATGTTCATGAAGCTGGAGCCCAGAGGATGCCCTGGGAATCAGGGACAGGTGTAAAGCCCAGGCCTATACTTCCTCACTGTGTGACCTGGTGAAAATCCCTCCAAGACTCTTAATCTGTTTATAATCTTAAAAAAAAAAAAAGGAGCCGCGTGGAAGCGGTTCTGAGAATCAGATAAGACCAGAAACATAAGTGCTTAGCATCCCGCTAGTGAGTGAGAGCGGACATCAGAAGAGCAGCTAGAGAGAGGAAGCCCATGCACAGAGCCAAGGGAAGGGTGTCAGGGTGAGGCCCTGGGGCAGCCTGGGGGAGCTCCTCTGGTGAACTAGCCTGGAGCTGTGCAGAGTGAGGCCTCAGCTGGGCCTGAGAGAGAGCTTGCACCTGCACCCTAGAGGTCAGAAGGTATCAAGGTTCCTGGAGCTGGAGTTACAGGTGGTATGAGTTTCCCAATGCAGATGCTGGGGACTGAACTATGGTCCTCAGCATGAGTAACAAGCACTGTTAATCTTCAAGTTCTCTCCCCAGTTTCCCCCAACCCCCGCATTCTTTTTCAGATAATCTCTGTTTGGGCCACGAGGGCTTCTGAACTCACAGTCTTCTTGCCTCGGCCTCCCGAAGTCACAGGCCTATGCCATCATCGTGCCTAGCTGGAAAGAACTCTTGAAATTAAATAAAACTGGGCTGATGAGATGGCTCAGCAGGTAAAGGCTGCTGCCACCAAAGCTCATGACCCATTGCCAAGACACGCACGGCAGAAAGAAGAACCAACTCTTGCGAGTTGTCCTCTGAGCTCCACACATGCCCTGTGGCATTCACATACAATCTATCCTAGAGTCCATAACAGTTTGTCTCACAAAAATATTCACACCTGTAATCTAGCACTTGGGAAGCTAAAATAATAGGCTTGCAGTGAGTTCCAGGTCACCTTGAACTAGATCAGACCCTGTTTCAAATCTTCTTCTCTCTCAAAAAGGAAACAAAGGAAGAAGGAAGGAAGGAACAAAGGAAGGAAGGAAGGAAGGAAAGAAGGAAAGAAGTAAGCTAGTTTCCACTGTTATTTTGAAAGCTAGTCTGAGCTAGTCTCTGGCCTTTCCAACCAGAATAAAACAGCAGAAAAGCAAGGTGCTCACCCAGATAGCCTGCTCTCATATCTGAGGTTAGTGGTTCGTTCCCAACAAATGTGGCATCCTGCAAGTCTTCAGTCAGATCCAAAAAGCCCCCAGCCCAGTCCTTGGCTCCAACTGCTCCCACAACTGCATGGCCCTGCTCAGGGAAGGAGAGGAAAAGGCTGAGTGTCATTCTGAATCAGGGAGCCGACGGCACCCCATCTCATCGCCTCATCGCTGGGCACCTTGCTGAGGTCTGCGCTGATCCCACTGGAGGAGAGTTCCATGTTAAAGGATGTCAGGTCTTGTACGTTTGTGCCTGGGGGACAAAGTAGATCAAAGGGACAATGAGAAGGGAGACATCTGTGGGAACAGCAAACAGACACAACACTGCTGGGCGTTGGTGGCGCACGCCTTCAATCCCAGCACTCGGGAGGCGAGTTTGTGGCCAGCCTGCTCTACAGAGTGAATTCCAGGATAGGCTCCAAAGCTACAGAGAAACCCTGTCTCAAAAAAAAAAAATAGAGGCACAATATTACAACCTTGACCTTGGGACAAGGCAGAATGCATAAACTTGAATGTTATAGGATCAGTGTTTCTCAAGGGTCTGACTACACAGTGTAGGCCCCAAGCCTACGTGCATACAGGCAGTACTAAGGGAACTCAGGTATTAGTTTTTGGGTTTTGTTTTGTTTTTAAACAGAAAAAGTGAACAGAGAAGGAAGAGCTCTGTCTGAGGTCACACAGCAAGTAAGAAGCAAGCAAAGATCCTTAACCAAGTCTACCTGGTCCCGCCCTATGCACACAGTGTGTCTTCCTGAGTTGGGCACTAAGGCTGTGTCCCGGCACAGGGCACTTCCCTGTGGACCCTAGTTCCTGCAAGCACACTTGACTGCCTGGAGAAAGGTCCCCATGTTCAGTCCTCTGCTGACATCATCCAAAACCTCTTATTCTAGGTCAGGAACGAGTGTCTGTGGGCTCCGCCCCCTGGCTCCTGCCAGGTTGCCCATCTTACGTCATGTGGGGGCCACAATCAGCAGTGCTGGGGTGAGCCACCTCTCCAGCCCCTCCTCCCCACCAGCTGCCAGGGTCTGGAACTCACCCTCAATTATGTAAATCCTCCTCTGCAGGTCATCAAATAGGCCCTTAAGCTTCTCAAATGTGTCCAGAATCTTGACAAATTCCTTTGTGGGTTTGGAGGCAAATATGTGAAGACTCTCCTGTTCTTGTGTGGACTTAAAATTCCGTCCAACCTGTGAGGGAGGAGAGGGAGAGCTGGAGCACCCCAAATCAGCCAGAAGACGTAGGCACAGTGACGAGGGGGCCACATGGAGAGCTGCAGCACCCCAAATCAGCCAGAAGATGTAGGCACAGTGACGAGGGGGCCACATGGAGAGCTGCAGCACCCCCAAACAGCCAGAAGACGTAGGCACAGTGACGAGGGGGCCACATGGAGAGCTGCAGCACCCCCAAATCAGCCAGAAGACTTAGGCACAGTGACGAGGGGGCCTGGAGCTCAGATGAAGAGAGGAGACCACATGGGCCTGGGGACCGTACCCCGATGATGTAGCGGGTAATGTCCTGGGCTGCATTGATGTCTCCAGTGTCAGTAGCCTCACCGTCTGTGATGATGACTAGCACTTTGGTAGCATCTGGCCGGGCACCAGACTCTTCTTTGAACACGTTTGTCCTGTGTCCAAGAAAGGGGAATGTGCGATTTCTCTCAAAGCAGAGCCCAAGGCCTCACCCCCGGCTCCCCCACTGCTCACAGAATCATTGCCCAGGCAACCAAGCAGAAGCCTTTCCCCAATCTACCAAGCAGGTTTTCTAAGCCTTCAAGTGTTCTCCTGACCCAGACGCCACCCTTTAGACAAGCTCTCTTTCTGGATTGGCGGGCTTCACTCTATTCTGGGTAATGTGTCCCAGAGTTCATGTGTAGCCATGGGGAAGTTTGAGGAGGGGTGACTCTGGGTTTTGCCTACCCTCCATTCTGATCACATGACAACCACAATTTCGTGAGCTATAGATGTTTGTCTATATGAAATTCCAGTAGGGAAAAGGACTCTGTGGCCAGAGAAATTTGGAGTCACTTTTTCTTTTTTTTCTTTTTTTTTTTGGTTTTTCGAGACAGGGTTTCTCTGTGGCTTTGGAGGCTGTCCTGGAACTAGCTCTTGTAGACCAGGCTGGCCTCAAACTCACAGAGATCAGCCTGCCTCTGCCTCCCAAGTGCTGGGATTAAAGGCGTGCGCCACCAACAAATTTGGAGTCACTTTTTCTAAGCAAGCAATCTGTCAGCCACTTCTTCCTTCCCACCACATCTGGCTCTGCTACAGCAGAAAAATCATCTTCTTTCTTTTTTATTTATCTATATTTGAGAAAGGGTCTCACTACTCTGTAGCCCTGGCTGGTCTAGAACTCATTATGTAGACTAGACTGGCCTCAAGCTCCCAGAAATCCACCTGCCTCCACTCTAGAGTGCTGGCATGTGCCACAACACTCAGCCCAAGAACAATCTCTTTAAGAATATAAATCGGATTTGGGTACCATGGTATATATATGCCTTTGATCCCAGGACTTGGGAGGTCAAGGCAGGAGGACTGTGTGTTAGGAGCCAGCTTGGGCTACAAGCGTGTGAGACTATATCTCCAAAGACAAACACAAATGAACATATATCAGACCACTGCTTCTCTGCTTAAAACTTCTGATGCCTTATTCTGGGGACGCCAAGACCTCGCTACAGACTGAGTCGTCACTCGTCTGAATGGCCACCACCGCGCCACTGACCACACCTGCTGCCATGTCTCCTCCTCTTTATTCTCTCCAGCCACAGAGACAGCCTAGTTCCCGGTTCTTCCTTCACACTTTTTAGTTTTAGTTTAATTATGTGTATTCATATGTGTCTGTGTGGGGGCATGTGCACCTGAGTGCAGGTGCCTCCAGAGGCCAGAAAAGGGTGTTAGATCTCCTGGAGCTGGAGTCCCAAGCTGGCCCAGTGTGGGTGCTGGGAACTAAATTTGGTCCTCTCCAAAAGCAATACATGTTCTGAACCACTGAGCTGTTTCTCCGACACTCTTTTTGAGACAGAGTTTCACTATGTAAGATCTAGCTGACCTGGAACTCCCTATGTAGCCCAGGCTGACCTGGAACTCCCTATGTAGCCCAGACTGTCTTGGAGCTTGCAGCAATCCTCTCTCTGCCTCCTGAGTGCTGACATTAGAGGCATGTGCCACCACATTTGGTTCTTATTGAATATTCCAAATTTGCTGAAGTTGGCTCTTAAGTGTCCTCCCCGGGGCTTGGTCTCCTGAGTGGCACTATTGGCAGCTGGAGGAACTTTTAGGAAGTGGAACTCAGTGAGCTCTTGAAGCCATTGAAGGGGATAACAGGACCCTGACTCCTTCCTCTTTCCCTCCTTGATGTCTGAGCCATTAGCTTAGCAGTTTCTTCCTGCCAAGCCCTCCTGCCATGATGTTCTGCCATGGCCCAAAGCAGTAGAACCTGGATGACCACGGACTGAAGCTTCCAAAACTGAGTCAAGGGTGGGAACTTAGTGGTAGCATGCTTGTCTGCACTAGGAGGCCCTGGGTTCCAATCCCCACAGCACACCCAGAAGCTGCCAAAACTGTGGATGCAAGAAACCTTTCTCTTTATCAGTTCGTGGGCTCAGATATGTTTGTGACAGTGAAGGAACGCTTCCTGTGGGCTTGTGTGGCTCAGGCTCATATCAACAGGACGCATCTCTAGCTGGGTGTAGTGGTACACACCTGTAATCCCAGCACTTGCGAGAGTGTGAGGCAGGAAGATCAGGAGTTCAAAGCCAGCCTTGTCTGCACAGTGAGCTTGAGGCCAGCATGGGGCTATATGAAAGAAAGCCTGTCTCAAATTGCTGTTCTCTGCCAAAGTTCCTTCTCTGATGTTCCTATGCAGCTTTGCTTTACGTTTCTGTATAGTGCATACATCTAATGCATTAAAAACTTGCTTATTTATCGTGTTTATTACATTTCTCACTCCTAGTGAAATGTTAAGCTCCCAGAGGACAGAAGCTTCGTTCACTAGGGACATGGATGCCTAGTGCCTAGAGCCTGACATACAGCCCTCCGCCTGCAGCAGCCAGACTGTCCCCAGGCTACTACCTAAGAACAACTTTTTTTTAATCCTGAAAGGATATAAAGTCAAACAGTGAAGAATATGCAACAGATGCCACCTACAGACAGAACACGACAGGATTTATTCTCTGGTCTTGTGCAGAAAAAGCTGGCAAAGGTCTAACTCAGTCACAGAGTGCTACCCAGGACAGTCAGAGGTCAAAGTGTTTATGACACACATTTCCATAGCCACCTTTTTTTCTATCATAATCAGCACCTTTTAGAATGTCTTGTCCACCCTGTGGGAACCTCTTCCCCTAACAAAACCCCTTCCAAAGATAGACAAGGTGGGTATGCCTGTCATCCCAGCGCGAGGCAGGCTGAGGCAGGAGGATTGCCGTAAGTTTGAAGCAAACCTGGGCTGCTTAGTAACTACCAAGCCAGTGAAGACTACATAGCAGGACTCTGTCTTAAATAAATAAACAAGTAAACACCCCTTCCCATAGTGAGGAGACTCCGATGTGTGAGGCTATGCACATGCCATGGCACACGTGTGGTCAGATGACAGCCTTGGTGCGGGTCCTCGGCTCCCATCCTGTTTGAGGCGGACCTTTCTTGTTTGCTGATGCCCATGTCGTCAGGCTAGCTGGCCCTGCAACCTCCGGGAGGTTATTCTGTCTCTCAACATCTGACCACCCCAGTGCTGGCGTTACAGACAAGTGCCGCTACCTCAGATCTACGCGTGGAATCCAGGCGTCTGAACTCCTGTGACCGAATGCACATAGCCCCTGTTTTACTTTTTTGTTTGCTTGTTTGGTTGGTTTGTTTTTTTGAGACAGGGACTCTCTACAGGGCCCTGGTTGTCCTGGAACTCCCTGTGTAGACCAGCTGTTTTCAAACTCAAAGAGATCCTCCTGCCTCTGTCTCCTGGGTGCTGGGATTAAAAGCATGTAACACCACACCTGACTTCTGTTTAGTTTTTGGAGATGGGGGTCTCACTATATTGTCTGAACTCCTGGGCTCAGTGATCTTTGTTTCGGTCTCCTGAGCAGCTAGGATTGCAAGGAGGCACCCTTACGCCTGGCCCAAGGTATGCTTGAGGGAATTGTTCTAAAGATTGATGTGTGTGTGCTTGTGCACTTGTGTGGTGGCCATAAGAAGACCTACTGTGTCTTCCTCTATCATTTTCTGTATTTTTTTTGTAGCAGGATCTCTCCTTGAACCCAGGGCTCATGTGTTCTTAGCTAGACTGGAAACCAGTAAGCTCCCTGCTGATCCTTCTGTCTCTGTCTCTGTCTAAACTGGGGTTACAAGTATGCACTGGGCACTTGGCTTATTATGTGGGTGTTGGGATCCAAATTCTGGTCTTTGGTATTGCAAGACAAATCTTTTAACAGCTGGGCCATGTTTCCAGTCCCCTGATTTTTTTTATTTGTTTATTTGGACAAGGTCTTACTATGTAGCCTAGGCTAGCCTCCAACCCATAAAACCTGGAATCCTCCTGCAGAAGCCTCCCCAGGCTACAATTAAGGCATGGGTTAACCACATGCTTCTCTTCACTTGAATTTATACGATAAACTGCCACACCCTGCACCTGCCCATGGACTTCCTGCATTACACTGCTGGAAGAGCTGGGTCCCATAGAACTGATGAGGAGACACAGATGTGTCTTTCCTCCAAGGGAACTTACACCACATAGTTGATGGCACCAAAGGTGTTGGTCAGTAAACGCATGTGTCTGACGTTACGGAACAGAGCGTCAGGATCCTTCTGTTTAGCGTAATCCAAGAAAGTGAATTCTGTTTTGTACGATGAGGAAAACTGAACAGCAGCAAACTGGGAAAGAAAGGAAGAAACGTTATAGAGTCTCTGGAGCCCAGGGCCGCCATTGGTGGGCAAGCATCGGCACTCAGCCATCTGCCTCTTACACAGACCCTGAGAAACCCAACTCCACATCCCTGCCCCAAAATCATTCTGATAACTTAAGATAAATATAAACAGATGTAGAAACGAAATTAAAGAAACCCCTGCTTTCTTACCTAGAGATGAGCACTGGGTTCCTGGTCTCTGGACCCACCTACCTCACCAGGATGGACAGTGCCCAGTAGCCATGTCTGTGAAGCCCCTAACTAGACAGTTAGCTCTGCCAGACACAGCTGGGTCAGCCAGAATCTCTTTAGAACCAGGACTTGGCAGGAGCACTAAGGTGGGAGGAAGTTTAAAGTGCTCTTTTGGAACTTTATCTTGTAGATTTAGGAGTTTGCAACAGGCCAGGAAGTCTAAGGAGAGACTGGAGCCTGTCTACACAGTAAACAGAGAGGAAAGATGGAGACAAGCACAAAAGAACTGCCACAGAGAACTGGGCAGCTTTGACCACTGGTTCTTCATGCTGCCAGAGATATAGGCACAATCATGCCTGTGCGTTCTGGACACACACCTCACAATACACTTCCCACTGATGGCATAAGCCAGGTCAGGTGGGTATCTTGGGATATTTACTTTATTTTGTTTACTGAGACAGGCTTTCTCTGTGTAGCTCTGTAGACCAGACTGGCCTGGAACTCAACAGAGATCTGCCTGCCTCTGCCTCCCGAGTGCCCGGCAGGTAGGCATCTCGGGTCTGCAACTAAGGATCCTGATGTGTGGACGTACCTGGTAGGAGGTGTTGCTGAGTTTCCTTATCACATCCTTCATGAAGTCCAAGACTTTTTCAAAGTCATTTTTCTCCAAGCTCATCGAGCCATCGAACAGAAATACTAGGTCAACCTTGCCCTTCGTACACTCTGCAAAGACCACATGAAAACAGGCCTGACTGACAAAGTCTGGCCTGCAGGCTGGCTCCTGTGGAAGCCAGCTCCTCCTCAGAGGTATTTTACCAGCACGGTCTCCAATTCCTTACCCTGATAAGCAGGATGCCCTTGTAACATAGGCCCCCCCAGACTCTGGGGAAAGAGGTAACACTGGCCACTGAGGTAGGTGTTCTGATCACATGTCCGAGACAGTCCAGGATCACAGGCCTGAAGGCAGCAAGGGGAAAAAGTTAAGGCTTCCTTGTGTTATGTGCCTTTCAGGCACTATCACCAGAGAATAAGAACCTTCAGAACCCTGTTACCTCCTTCACTTCCAAATGGTTTTCGTTCTTCCTTTCTTTTTTTTTTTTTCCAAGACAGGGTTTCTCTGTAATCATCCTAAATGTCCTGGAACTCACTCTGTAGACCAGGCTGGCCTCAAACTCTGCCTTCCGAGTGATGGGATTAAAGGTGGCTGCCACTATGTCCAGGCCAAATGGCTTTCAAAGCAAAGCATTCCTGCCTCTAACACTGCCGCCCCCCAGTGCTAGTGTTCTATAACAGCGGGTGCTCACACCTATGGGATGACTCTAACCTCCCATGTTCATCACATGTTCTATGCACAGGTGGGCATTGCCCCTCATTTCCAGGACTACCCCTCCCAACCACACACCCTTTATTCACCATATCAGAACCTCAGTTTTCCAGAATAGACAGTGCTACTCTTTGCATTTACAACTACTGTCTTTTCTGTCGGACTGCAATGTACAGACAGGGCTTTGCCCTTTATACATCTTTGTATCCTACAGCCTTACCCCATGGAATCTAGCACAGGTCCTGACCTGCAATAGTAGGTAAGTAAACAAGTTTAATTAAGCACTGCGTCACACGGGGCATAGGGGTGCATGCCCACGACCCAGCACTGGGAGGCTGAAGCAAGAGACGCCCAGCCTGGGCTACATAACGAGACCCTGTATCAAGGAAGACAACAACAGCAACAACCCACTAACTGTACAAATCTGCAACTATTAGAACATTAAAAATAAATGTAAGTAGCCTGCGTATAGATGTGCTGCGTAGCTCTGTTGGAGGAAGGAGGACTAGTAGCTGAAGGTCAAACCTCAGCTGGGCAGTGAGTTTGAGGCCAGCCCAGCCTATGGAGAAAAGGAAGGAAGACACCCGTTCCCAGTCAGTTCTCAGAAAGCATCAGGGTGATTGCAATCGCTGATGCCGCTAGCACTTTATCCGATCTTTTAACTATTTCTTTTTTCTGAGACGAGGTCTCCTTATGTGACCCAGGCTGTCTCAGCTGCCCCTGTGCTGGGATTACAGGTCTATACCCCATAACTGGCCTCTCTTTCCCAGTGCTCTGCTCCCCGGGCCCTGATTGCATCACACAAAATTCTTACCAAAAGGCTTCCAGCGGTGGCGTCTGTCACTAAGGTCATTCCCAAGTATTTGGAGGTATAGTTGGAACCTGCATGCACCAGAAAGGCAGTTTGGAGGCACTCAGGCCATCAGGTGTGTTGGGGTCAGCCTCCGTTTCCCTGGGACCCCACTGCCCATCCCTTCCCTCCTTACTCACCATGCAGGCTGAGCTGTTGGCAGGAACCACTGCCTGGATGACACTGATAGAGGCGTCCTGTGCTGTCCCCCTCACCTGGAGCTCCCACAACAACCCTGATGGAGAAATCTCACTTGAGGTGAAGTTGGTTGGGCTTTTGCCTACCCAGCCCCTCTTTTCTTGTTTCCTACCCACTCATCCTCCCTCCCTCCCTCCCTCCCTTCCTTCCTCTCTTTTTTTTTCCTTTTTGAGACAGGGTTTAACTGTATACATAGCCCTGGCTAGCCTAGAACTTGCTAGCCACATGGTTAGTCTTGAACTCACAGAGATCTAACTTTCTTCTCTCTCCCAAGTGCTGAGATTAAAGTCATGCACCACCACACCAGGTTCTTCTGTTTTTGTTTTGTTTTGTTTTGTTTTTTTCAAGACAGGATTTCTTTTTGTAGCCCTGGCTGTCCTGGAACTAGTTCTGTAGCCCAGGCTGGCCTTGAACTCACAAAGATGCACCTGCCTCTGCCTCCTGAGTGTCGGGAGTAAAGGTGTGCACCACCACCACTCAGCTGTGCGTCTTAACAAGGGATTCAGAGTGATGCAAGCCTGGCTGCTCCGTGGGTAAAGGCGCTCAGCAGCCTGACAGCCTTAGTCTGATCTGATCCCCATGACCCAAAAGGTAGAAGGAGGGAGCTGGTTTCAGCAGTTTGTCCTGACTTCCACACACACACTATGGCCTTCATGTACACACACTATCACACCACACCAACAATAACCGGATGCTGGATGCTAAAAGCTTTGTGCAAGGCAATGCAGCTCTTACCCTTCAGGGAGCTCCTCCATGCCTCTTCTCTCCCAAAAGCCAAATAACATCATTCTAGAACCTTACGTTTTTTTCTATTTGCAGTCTAGAAGAGTGGTCTGTCAGATGGACACCTTAGGACTTCGTTTGCTAGGCCATCAACTCTAAAGCTATTTTGGTGACACAGGCCTGTCATCTCTGTTACTCAGAGACAGAGGCAGGAGGATAATAAGTCCCAAGTTAGCCATGGAAACTTAATAAGACCCTGTCTATAAATAAAATTAAAAATAAGCCAGGTCAGGTGGGACTTGCCTGTAATCCCAGAACCCCAGTGGTAGAGGTCAGGAGATCAGAAGTTCAAGACTATGCTCAGTTACAGCAAGTGTGGAAGCAGCATGGCCTACAGACTGCCTCCAAACAAAGTAAACAAAGAAATGAAGACCTAGGGTGCAGCTCAAGGGAGAACTCGGCAAACACACAGACCTAGTGTTCAAACAACAGCAGCACTACCAACAAAGCCATCAGTGACCAAGCTTGCCTACTATGTGTTCAACTAGGTTATGAATTAGAAAGAGGAGCCGGGCATTGGTGGCGCATGCCTTTAATCCCAGCACTCAGGAGGCAGAGGCAGGTGAATCCCTGTGAGTTCGAGACCAGCCTGGTCTACCGAGCGAGTTTCAGGACAGGCTTCAAAACAATACAGAGAAACCCTGCCTCGAAAAAACTAAAAAACAAAAAACAAAAAAATGAATTAGGAAGAGGAAAGGAGAGGGTCCCTAGACACTCATGTGGCATATTACCCATCACCCTCATTTTGTGGTATTGGGGAGCCTTGTCCCTGTTATTGAAAAGCCACCTAGCAGACACGTGCAGAAGTGAGGCCAGCCCCAGCTTTGTGACCCTGGGCAGATATGGAACCCTGCATACTCTCCTGATTGTGGAGGGGAGTTTAAAGGGTAGCAACTCACCCATCTCCGACCTGCAAGACCCGGTACCCAAAGTGTCTTCCAGCATGTGCTAAGAAACTCTGAGCATGCCGCGTGTCCAGGTTGTAGCTCCAGGCCTCAACTGAGGGAAGCAAACTCAATCAGTGCTTCCTGTCCAGACCCCACATCCCACGTGCTGCCCCAGGGCCGCTTCCTCCAAACCCAGAGGCTGCCTACACCCAAGCAGAGACGGACTGGTGCCAGGACTTTCCCTCTAGGGCCTAGACTGGAGGATAGGAGATGACACAATCTGTCTCCCACGGCACAGACAACTCCTTCCCAGGCCCTGAGGACTCAACTTCCCCTTGGACCTATTGGCAAAGAAGTAAGAGTAAGAAGGCGGAGGCCCATGAGAAAGAAGCCAGGGAAAGGGGCCCCAGGCAGAGAATGACCAAGTTCCCAGGCAGAGACCAAAGAGGGTGCCCCGAGGTGCAATGGCTACTCCACACACTGCTCTTTTCTGGGGGGTCTCGCAGCCCAAGACCTGAGAACCCCAAAGATCAACTTCACTGAATCTCCATATCTTGTGCCCAGCAGGGAGCTGAACTCAAGCTCTGGAACCCACCAGGCCAGGGTATCTCCTGTACCTTTAGAATTCAACACCTTCCCCTTCCCAGCTAGAGTGTCATCCACAGAGCTGGCCAAGCCTTCCTTACAGTCAGACTTAGAACCCTGCGTCCTGCGATGTCAGGGATGAGGTACCCTTATTTACTTAGGTGAAGGGAGGTGATGCCTCCGAGCAAGGAGAGCTAATACGGTGGTGGTGGAGTAACCCAAGCCGGCATTCTCCTCCCCACCCTGGGTCCCACCAACCATCTACCTAAGACCTGAAGACCCACTCCACCTCCCCTGCTCCCTCCTCGCCCTTTTCTCTCCTTGCTATCATGTTTTGACATCATGTGGGTCCCCACTTATCTCTCTGAGGTTCCTGGATCCCACATCGCCTGGGTCCCACATGGCCTGTGCCACCCACCGCTCAGAGTGGCCCCTTGTTTCCTACAGCTCTACAAAGTCTTCTGGTTTCTCCTGCCACAGACAATGTCCCTTCCCCCATCCCTCCTGGATTTCCTACCAAACAGTTGGAGTCCCAATAGCAACAGCCTGGCGCCAGCGATGTGGAAACTCATCTGCACCAGGGAGGGACCTGTGGGTCCAGCCTCAGTCTCTGAGAGCTCTTGAGATTTCTGGCAGCTAGACGGGGTGGAGAGGGAAATGGTGGTGTCTCTTGCATGGGGCCCCTTGCAGTGCAACTTTCTCAGGGCGCCAGGCTGGTGACACTGGGTGGGGGTGGAGGGAGGGGTATGCTCCTGCCAGGGTTGTGAAACCTCTCTATTCAGAGAGGAAGTGTAAGCAGGTTAGATACACTTCCTGTGCCTACTTGCATTTTCACATCTTCTCAGAGCAGACAGCAAGGCGGTTAAATGACAGTCACTCCAGCTAGGCAGCCTCAGCCCCCGGAAGACTCTTCAAAGTGAGATAGAGGGGGAGAGGAGGTATATGAGAGGGCTTGGATGGGGGTAAGGGAGGGGAGAAGCGTTGTAATTGTGTTATAACTAAAATAAAACAAAAAACAACACCCCGCCAAAAATTGATAGAGGGTTGCTCAGGAAATAACCCTAAAGCCATACTGCCGAACCACAGAGGAAGAATGTAGGTGACAAAACGGTGGGGGGAGATGTAGCCTGGAGCAAGCTGCAGAATGGCATGTTTCAGAACTAACTTTGTTTCTTAAAACCAAATGAAATAAAATCCTTAGAATGGGAGAAAACATCTGTAAAGAGCTCAAACGGTGGTGCAGAGGCAGAGACTGTATGTGAAGAACTCGGACACAGAGACAGCTCAACAACAACAGACAGACAACTTTGGGGGTGGCTTTTTAAAAATTTCTTTCCTTTTAGAAAATCAATTGTTGTCACACACCTTTGATCCCAGCACTCAGGAGGCAGAAGCAAGCAGATCTCTGTGAGTTCGAGGACAGCCTGGTCTATAGAGCAAGTTCCAGGACAGCCAAATCTACACAAAGAAACCTTGTCTCAACCCTCCTTCAAAAAAAGTTCAATTACTGAGCCCATGAGATGGCTCAGTGGATAAAGGTGCCAGGCTGATAACCCGAGTTCCACCCCCAGAACCCACGTAAGGTCAAAGTTGTCCTCTGACCTCCATGTATGCTCCGTAAGGTCAAAGTTGTCCTCTGACCTCCATGTATGCTCCGTAAGGTCAAAGTTGTCCTCTGACCTCCATGTATGCTCCGTTCGCCTTGCGCACGTAATAATTTTGAAGTCAAAGTTTTATAAACGAGTATACTGTTGAAAGTTGAGAATGAGTAATTCTTTCTTGTATGCACCGCGGAGACCAAACTGACGGCTTCATGCTGCTGCACTGTTGTCTGTGGCTAGGCACACCCCTCGGTTCCTAGTGTGTTTTAAAGGAGCGAAAGGTTTGGGAAGACATTTCTTCCGTGGTGCTGTGAGTTGGTTCCAGGCCCTGTGTGCTAAACAAGCATTCTCCCACTAGCTACATCCCCAGCCCAGGCAGAACTTTCTTTAAAATGATATATAAATGGGCAACGAAGAGTTGAAGGGATGCTCAACAACGCTAGTCATTAAAGAAGGAGCAGAGCCCGTCACTCGGTCGGGTACGGAGGCGGGAGAGAGGTACTGCCAGCTCTTGCAGACCCTGAAACAGCCAGGCACAAGGGCTCACATGTGGGATTTCATTTGAGTTGCACGCACAGAATAAGTATAAACTTTTGTATGTGTGATGTTGGTACTCAAACATGGCACCTCAGGCTGCTGGTTAAGTTGTCTATCAATGAACCACAGTCCCAGCCCTCACATAGGTAAACCTAAAGAGAAGAGAGAGGGGCTGCTAATGGGTTTAACCTCTTTAAGTAATATTTAATGTTCTGGGTCTAGATTGTAGAGATGATTGTACAACTTCATGAACACAGATATGGGAAAAGTTTTGTTTGTTTGTTTTGTTTTTTTTCTCAAGATGGGGTTTGTCTGTGTAATTGCCCTAGCTGTCCTGGAACTCCCTCTGTAGACCAGGCTGACCTTGAATGTATAGAGATGTGCCTGCCTTAACCTCTCAAGTGCTGGGATTAAAGGGGTGTCACCAATGTCTGACTATGAGAAAATATTTAAGAGAGAGAGATAGAGTACAGCTATCGCCCTCCCTTGGCCCTACAGGAGCGGCACACCCAGTCTGAATGCAGTAGCAGTGACTGAATTGCCCACTTACTTCTTGACATGGGTGTCAAAACTGTGCAATGGAAAGAACACAGATTAGTCAACAAATTGTACTTGCAAAGCTGGGTGTCTGTCTACCTGCAGAAGGGCGGAATGTGAGCAGTCTCTCACCTTGAAGAAAAAACAACTCAGAGTAGATCCAAGTCCTAAACACTGAAACTGTTACAAGAAAGCATTGGAATACACTTCAAGATATGGGCGAAGGCAAAAAAGTACCTTTTTTTTCTTTTTTCTTTTTTTGTTTTTCGAGGCAGGATTTCTCTGAGGCTGTCCTGGAACTAGCTTTTGTAGACCAGGCTGATCTCAAACTCACAGAGATCTGCCCGCTTCTGCCTCCTGAGTTCTGGGATTAAAGGTGTGCATCACCACCGCCTGGCAAAAAAAAGTAACTTCTTTTGTTTTAATTTACTTTTAATTTTTATTTATTTATTTGTTTTTGCTTATGAGACAGCTTCACTGTGTAGCCCTAGCTGACCTGGAACTCTTAAGGATCTGCCTGCCTCTTCCACCAGAGAGTTGTGCTGGGACTAAACGTGCTGCCTCACCTGGCCTTGCTTTCCTTTTGGGGTGTGTGTGTGTGTGTGTGTGTGTGTGTGTGTGTGTGTGTGTGTGTGTGTGTGTGTGCGTGCATGTGTGAAGGTCAAAGGACAACCTTGGGGAGTCTGTCCTTATGTTCCACCTTGCTGAGGCAGAGATTTCTTGTTCCCGCCTGCTTGCCAGCTTCCAGCAGATTCCATCCAGATGCTGGCCACTGCGTCTGACACCTGACATTTTAGGAGGGGTTCTGGACACCCCACTCAGGTCATTCGGCTTGGGCAGGCTTTGACATCTCTCCGACTCTTTGTTTTTGTTTTGAAACAGGGTCTAGCTCTATAGACTAGGTTAGCTTCAAACTCCAAATAATATTCCTTCCACAGAGCCCTGCAGGCTGGGATTACAGGTGTCAGTCATCATGCCTGGTGAGTATATTCATTTACTGATTTATCAGTCTAGCTCCTGCAGTCTGCTTGGATTGTAGAACAAAATACTTTGTGTCTTAGGGAGTTTTCATTTGTCTCAAAATGGCACTTTCTTGCTTGTCTCCCAAAGACTGTCTGTACCTCTATATATCTTTGCATTGGGGCTTAAATTTCAGTATAAATTCTGGGGAAAACACAAATATTTAAACCTCATGGCCCTCAATATGCATGCTGTTGTGGGGTATCCACCAATACTGCTCAGACACAGATTTGAGCCAATAGAATGTCTTTATTAGCCCAAAGTGACTACACTGGGTGTTCAGGATCCCTGTGTAGCCCCCAGTCTCTATCAGGGTGAGCTTTTAAGCACAAAAATCATGTTCTGGGTTGACATACTTCAGTTGACAAGAACAGTTATCCAGAAGCAGAACTACAGAAGCCAGAAAGCAAGGTCAGTACATTTAGAGATTTCCCAGAACTGTGACTTTGATGGAGTCAGGCTTTGTTTCAGTTTTGACAGGTTATACTGTCTGCAGGCTGAGTTTTACAGCCTGGTTCACAGAGGTCAGTTGTGCTGTGGTCTGGGGCCTGTTACACACGCCTTCCTCACTTGCAAAATGTATTTGTTCCATCCCAAGATGACTTCAAATACCTTAACTTTACAGCCGGAGCCCTCAATCTTATCTCTTCCTCCCTCCTTCCCTCCTTCCCTCCCTCCCTCCCACTTTCTTTAGACAGGTTTTCTTGCGTAGCTCTGGCTGTGCTGGAATGCTTTCTGTAGACTAGACTGGCCTCAAACTCAGAGATCCACCTGCCTCTGCCTCCTGAGCGCTGGATTTTAAGGGTGTGTGCTGCTACATCCAGTTATTAAACAGTTATCTCAATTGGATCCAGGGGGAACTTAATGTCTGCTTCACCCTGAGGCCGAAGAGAACCAGATTTTTGTCCAGTTTTGAGCCTGTCACATCAAGCAAGTTAGGAATTTCCAAAATTCAGTGGAGAAACAGGATGGGTGTTCTCATCACAAAAAGGAGAAATAGCGTGTGATGGTAGTCCACGCCTTTAATCGGAGCAAGGCAGGCAGATTTCTTGATGGGAAAACTCCTACACAGCTGCAGCTGCCTCGTGAGTGTCCGATTGTAGCCCTAATCTGCCTTTTGTCTTCAGCTCCTTCTGTTTTAACAAATGCAAATTGTGTCTGAGAGTTTCCCAAAGGTGCAAAACTTGTTATTTTCTTATCAAGAATTTGCATTTGACATTGTTCCTTTGGAAGCTTAATTAGGATGTTTTGAAGAAATCAGCTTGCTAAGGTACAAATTGGAGAACAATAAAGAAGCCCTGGGCAAAGGGAAAGAGTTCAGTACTTAGAGGAATCAACCCTGCAGCTGGAAAAGGCTAACATCATCCTTTTCTATCCACAGACTGCATGAATGAATACCCAATGCCCGAAATACAACAGAGGCTAACCTGGTCAACCGAGTGACTTCCAGGACAGCTACAGCTACACAGAGAAACCCTATCTCAAACAATAACAACAACAAACAAAAACAAAGCAAAACTGAAAGGTTTCAGCACCTCGATAAGCCTCTCCACCAACGTAGCAATCCAAATCAGACCAAATCAAATTAGAAACAGCGCATGTTTAATGGATACAGGGCTCCCGGATGGACTTCGAGACCCCAGAAAGGAGACAGGAAAGAGAGACTGGAAAACCATATGTCTGTTTTTCTGGGGGGCAGTTTAAATACCCTGCGGGAGTGGTCTTGAGCATCTCTGGGGGAGGGGGGTCACCATTTGGCGGGCTTTCTGAGATGCAGGAGAGATTGGAGAGAGATAGGGAAGGGGAGCTTGGGTGGAACCTCCACCATAACAAAAGCAAAACAAAAAAATTAGGAGAAATTGGAAGTTAGAAGTCCAGCAGGAGTTTAAGGGGCAGGAATATGGGGAGAAACCCTTCACACAGCTGGGTATGATACCAATAATTACAGCTGAAGTAGGGGGATTTGGATGCATTTAAGGTCAGCCTGAGCTACATAGTAAGATGACTCA